AGAGAAACCCTGTCTCGAAAAACAAAAAAACAAAAACAAAAACAAAACAAAACAAAACAAAAAAAAAAAACCAAAAAGAAAAAAAAAAAAAAAAAAAAAAAAGAAAAGGGGTGTCTTGAGGGTGGTGTGGAAAATGGGCTCCTGTGTATGCACTCCCTGACTCCTGAGGGCTCTGAGCCGTTGGGCAGATGTGGAAACCTAGCATGTCAACGTCAGTAGAAAAGGTGGTTAAATATAATTGCTGCCTCCAGAGAAACCCGGGGGGCTTTGTGGTCCCGGTGTAAGAGGGAGGGCAGAGTAGCCAACCTGGAGTGAACTGGGTCTAAGACATTCACACCTTCCATAGCTCCTCTGCCTGGACCCAGTCAAGAGGTCATGTCCTGCCACAGTGTTCTGAGTTTCGCCTGGGTGGGTAGCCTCCAGGGGTCCACGGCCTCGTGGCTTGGGGGCTGTAGTCGCCTTGGGAATGTCTGGTAGAAACCTAGAGGTGAGTCCGAAGAGACTTGGGCCCTGTGAAGGAGGGTGTCAGTGGGCACAGGCCATGGGAAGGAGAACTGTTACATCTGAGGAAACAACCGTCTTTGTTTGCCTGAGCCCTGCCTACCTGTAGCTGAGAGGATGCTGGTCCTGGAGAGGCGTGGAGAGGCAGGCCGTGAGAAGGAACCCGGCTCTGAGGGGTGAGAATGAGAAATAGTTCTTATAGGAAAAGGTGTGCCCCGGATGTGGGGAAGTTTAGGGATAAGAGGTGTGTAAAGTGGACTTTGAGGGAGAGCAGTGAAGGCTGCCCTTTTCCTTTGTGAAGAGGAAAGAGTTGTCTGTGCTATTAAGCTGGCAGAGACCTGTTGGCCGCTCAGGACCCTGATGTTGTCCGTGTCGTACTCTGTGTGAGCTCTGTGCTGGCTGGGGCTGAGCTGGAGCAGGGGAACAGGAAGGAAGGATGAGGCCAAAGACTCGTGGACAGTGTATGTCCAAGAGCTGGTTAAACTGGAGGGAGTTCTGGACCAAAGGGGCGAGAAACTGGTAGCCTATGCGTTGGTTATCTTGGATTCAATCACCTTTGACCCTCGTTACTTACTTAATTGGGGGTGCGTGTGAAGGTGGGTGGCATCGTTTCTCTTGAGCTTACACAGGCACCAGTCTGCCTTGCCTTCAGTCACATAAAAATCTCAGATGTGTTAGTTACTAAACTGCCTGTTCTTTAAAAGAGAAGATTGAGAGCAGGAGAGTAGAGAGACGGGAGAAATAGGAGGCTGACAGCCCGCCTTTAAAGGATGTGGGTGTATGACAGGAAGACCGAGTGTGCCGAGTTTCAGGGGCCAGTGCTGGTGAGGTGGCTCACTCAGGAAGGCGCTTGCTTTGCAAGCCTGAGGATCTGACTTGGATCTCCCGAACCGGTGTAAGAAGCCAGGAGTGGCAGTGGGCGCCTGGAATCCCAGCACTGTGCAGGCAGAGGCAGGAGATGTTCAGGGCTTGCTGGCAGGCCAGTCTAGATGAATCGGGCAGCTCCAGGTTCAGTGAGCAGGTGGAGGGGTGGGAGGGGTGGGAGGTTGGAGGTGGATCCAGAAGTAACAGGGGGAATAGGAGTATGATCAAAATACATCGTATGCATGTATGAAATTCTCAAAGAATTAATAAAAAGATTAATTGAAAACAATCTAAAGCCCACAAAGTACCCAAACAAGGCTGGGCATGGTGGCCTGAACCTGTAATAATCCTAGTATGTGGGAGACTGAGGCAGGAGAATTGCAAGTTTGAAGTCTGCCTGGACTACGAAGTAAGTTCAAGATTACCCTGAGCTACATGGTGAGACCCTGTCTCAAAAAACAAAACAAAAACAAAAACAACCCCCCCCCAAAAAAAAACTCTTAAAAAATCCAAATGAAGTAGTATTATATTAAGTATGCTTTATTCAGTAGAAATTTCTCTATAGACACACCCCCACCCCACCATGTCCATGGGGTTGTAGAGACCACATTCCCTAGTTGATTGTCCCATGACCCCTTGCTCTGGCTTCTCTCAGCTTTGTTGCCTACAGTTGTGCTTCTTGTCAGCTTGTTTGGCTCTATTCTGGACACTTCTTTTCTCCAAAGCCAAATACAGTATTATTATGGATTAAAGACATCATGCACACGTGCGCGTGCGTGTGTGTGTGCATGTGTGTGTGTGTGTGTGTGTGTGTGTGTGTGTGTGTGTGTGTTTCAGAGCAATGAAACTGGCATTCCCCTATGTTGCAAGATCAGCTGTAATCTGTGTGTTGGGCCACAATTTGCTTTGGGGGAAGGGGTTCTGTTTATTTAATTTTTAATACTAAAAGCCTCCACGTGACACAATATTTCAAAGCATCAAGCATGGAAACAATGGGACAGAACTCTCCACATCTCTGTCCTTTGGCCCCCATTTCTGCTCTGCGCTCTTCTTAACTATTTCTCAACTTTTGTGCTGAGTTCTCTATCTAGAGATGTTTTATGGAGACACTAATGTTAATTTCTTGCTTCTCCCCTAGCTATGCTGAGATACATCTGTCATTGCACACCATAAGTACTTGCAATTTTAGCTGTCAGATCATGAAAATCCCTCACATATATGCCCGGTGGTTTATCTTTTAGTTGATTCCACATTCAACCAAGATTAACCATGACATTTAGTGATGGTAATATTTATTTATTTGTATATTTGCATGTCTTCTCTTCAGAAATGTCTATTCAGACTTGTTGCTTATTTTAAGGTAAGGTTACTATTATTATTATTATTGTTATTGACTTCAGTTCCTTATATATTTTGGATACAAATCTTGCACTATATTTATGCTGTCATGGTTTGCATAAGTGTCCAGTCCCCATCCTTGGGGACTCCACTTCTTGGGAGGCAGTGCATCATTTGGGAGGTGGGACTTAATGGGAGGTCTTAGGCTACTGGGGCTATGAACAGGTTTCCTCTGCTGCACACTTCTGCCATGATGTTACCTTGCCATATGTCCCAAAGCAGGAGGACTGTTGACCATGAACTGGAACCTTTAAGGCTTTGAGCTAAAAGAAACCTTTCCTTTTAAGCTGGTTGTCCAGCAGTTTGTTATACTTCTGCAAATATGACTAACAAACATGGTGTACAATAAAAACAAACATGGTGTACAAATATTGCAGAAGTTATCTTTTCTTCTGATGATTGTTAGTGTGAAAGATTTGTAGTTTGATGGAACCTCATTTGTCTGGTTTTGTCTTTGGTGGTGTACCTTAAAAAAAATCACTGCCAAGAAACAACACCAAGAAACAGTTCCTTGGGTCATTGAGATGGCTTAATTGGGTAAAGTCTCTGGGTACCAGAACTGATGAACTGAATTTGATCCCCAGGGCCCACATAGTGGAAGGAGAGAGATGACTCCTACAAGTTGCTCTCTGACTTCTATACATGCGTCATAATACATGTGTAACCCCCACCCCAAAGAAATACTTGTACTCTGTTATTCCCCTCTCTAGAAACGTCAGAGAAGCTACACTGTAGCCAAAAGTTTCTCCAGTCCCACCGCCCCTTGGTCCTGTAGCCGCCTATAAAATAATAACTCAGAGGCTTCTATTAATTATGAACTGGATGGTCTGTGGCTCAACCTTCTTGCTAGCTAGCTCTTATAACTTGACCCATTTCTATTAATCTGTAAGTTGCCACATGGCCATGGCATTACTGGTCTGCTGGCATCTTGCTGCTCCTTGGCTGGTGGCTAGCATCTCTCCTGTTCTCCTTTTTCCTCTTGCTATCTCTCTTGGATTTTCCCACCTGTCTCTATCCTGCCCTGCCATAGGCCAATGCAGCTTTATTTATCAACCAATCAGAGCAACACATCTTCACAGAGTACAGAAAGACATCCCATAGCACTTTCCCTTTTCT